TTCAGCAGTCTGACTATAGATTGCAAAATCATTTGATGATTTTTATTTCTCTTCGAAAGCTTGGAAATGTCCCTCAAATATGATTTCATTTAGTCTTATTTTTTGGTTTACATGTCTGAATACTAATTGTAATGTGATAGCTTCAAGGGAACTCAACTTTCTACCAAAAGTCAGCCTTCAGTGGTCAAAGGGAATATAAACAAACCGGCCTCAGAACAGGATCTAAAAATGGGCTATGATCAAACAGCTCTAAGGCTTTAAAACCCCCTTATTATCTTTTCCCAGAAGTAATTGACAGCATCAGTTTTTGTTCTTAATGCGGTGATAATGGCATGGTGCTTTGGGGAGACCAAGGAGCTGGACTCAGCCCTGGTGGTAGCAGGGTTTCTGAGCAAGGGAAAGGCCTTTCACTCTGGTGGGTGAAATCCTAGCCTTGCTGAAGTTAGCAGCACTTCTTTAGGGCCAGGGTTTCGGTGGCTTCCCAAGCCTGACATGCTGTTGTACTGTACTGTGACTTCACAGACTAAGATGCAGCATTCTTGGATTGAGACAAGGATTAAGGGAGAAAGGACCCCGCTGTTTTGTTATTTCAGGGAGATGGGATTGCACTCCAGCAAGAAGCTTGTCTGCAATGTTTCCATAATTTGTTTATATTTTTAGCAGACTGAGCTTTCAGGACTTTGACGCATCCACATGTGCCAAGTGATGGGTCAGCATGGCACCATACTGTTTCACTGAGCTCTTTGTGGGCATAAGGGCATGTTTAACAGGGGTGCCTCAGAAAAAAATGCATCTAGACTACTGTTGTGGTAAATCTTTGTCAGTTTTGGAAATGCAATAAACCAAACAAGCCCATTACATCAAGTTCTCAGCTTCTATAAATCAATGTGTCCCAGAGGCAACTCAAAATGTATCTCAATACTTTATCTGGCCTGTTTGCATATTGTGTTCTTTGGCTTATACCACAACTGCACTTTTAATTTCTAGTGTTGGTTTTAGAATCAGTGGCTCATATAAGAATGTTACTACTGTTTGGTATTGCTGCTGCAAAATTTCCAGAGATCCATTAAAAATCAGGATTCACAATGCAAAATTCATTTGTATTTAAAAATAAAATGTAATGTTTTCTTTCTGTTTTTCTACAGTCTCTAACACAAGTATGGAAAAACCTTGGATCTTAAACAAATTTCAAAGTTTTGTTATTAAACTGAGAAGAGAAAACCAATAATTTTTGAATTATCTGTTGCAGACATGTTTACATTATGAATCTCTTAAGATTCTATGTGCTATAGATACCTAATTTTATCCAGTGACATGAGCAATAAAATATTAAAATATATATAATCATATTGTGAGAGATCATAGAGAAACAGTGCTAAGAAATTAATATTGGATTGCATATTTCATTGTCCTTAAAGAATTTGTCTTTATCATTTCGCTTGAGATGATGGTAACAGTAAGATGCATTTGGGTTATGTGAACAGTTGTTGATTTTGGAAGATTGTTCATTCTTAGTTCCTTTTCTCATTTTATTTTTAGAAAAGGAAAAAAAAAGAAAACAACCCCCAAAAGAACAGAAAACCATCTGAAGAAGTGAAACTCCCCCAGTTCCTAGAAAGGATCCAGCTGCGTTAACTATCCAACTGCCTCTTGGAATAAACAGCATTCTGACAACTGGAGAGCAGATGCAATGTGTGGAGTCAGGGAGGTCAACAAAAACAAGTAGAAAAAGAAACCAAGGAAACAAGTGAAAAGAGATAAAATATTAGAGTATTAACACAGGATATTACATCTCTCACAGCAATATTAAAGTGAATAGAAGGAGAAAAAGAAGAAGAATTACCACGGGAGCTGGCAAAACAGGAGACAATAAATCAAAGAAACATAGGATCTTAGCCATACTAGCCTGAATCCATGGCAAATCTTGATTTCACTAATATCATGATAATTTTATACAGTAGAGATAAAAGCTGTCCTAAATAGCCATGCAGAACCACTGCCTGGAGCAGTTTAACATGGCTGGATGAGGCTGTGAGCAGGCTGATTGCTGCCTGTCTGTTACAAACACAGGAGAAATCCAGGTCTTTCCCAGCAGCAGTGAGAACTGAGGAAAAGGGAGAGGGAGGGAGGGCAGACACACATCAGGAAGGGTCAGAGAGGCTCCTAGGAGAGACCCCAGGCTCCACTCCCAGTCTGGTCATGGTCACCCCCTGCCACAACTGCTCTCTTGGCATCTTGCTCCTATTAAAAGGCATCAGTAGGTAATGCTAAAAAATGATCCCCACAGTGGACCCTGTCCCCATCCTCGGGGTATGTCCAACCTGGGCTTCCTCCTTTCCTCCCTCTCTTAGCATTTATTTATTTCTTGCAGCAATGAAACCTGTTGATTTGTGTATGCGTGTTGGTGTCCAGTGAGGGAGAAATGTCTCCGCTTGACCTCCCCAAAATCAAAGCCCGCAAGCTCACAAATTTTCTCTCTCAGGAGGGCACAGACAGCTTCCCAGGACAGCCCCGATGGTGCCAGGGAGGCTGCGGGGAGTCCTGGTCAGCCATTGCACCTTAGCCCCAATGAGCTGGGCTGGGTACTTCTCTGCCAGCTCCAGCTCTGTGAGAGCGACTGCCCTGGCCACATACACAGGGATAGAGCTGGTCCCGGGAAGAAAATCATGACAACAGCCAGTTGCATCCAGATATTTGGCTTCCCTGGCTGTATGACACACGGTGTGGACTTGGCAGGCTGGATTTCAAAGAAAAGGGAGTTGTTATTTTTTAAAAGGCAGAAATTGCTGGGTTAAAAAACACATGATGAAATTTCCCTGGCAGGCAGCTGGACAGGAACCGAACCCGCTGGAAACCCATTCTGCACTTTGGAAGGGCTCCGCTGCCCTGGCCCAGTCTTTCTCCAGAGCAACAAATTGGCAAGATTTTAAAGCAAGCAGGCGATGTAGCACAGAACAAAGAGCTTTGGACCTAAATTTTTTCCCCTTCCCTTCACAAAAATTATATACATTAACAAATCTACACACACTGAGTCTCTCCACCTATCTTCTCCCCAACTCTTCCACGCAACCCCAGCACATACTTCCCCAGGCACTCCTGGTTTTGCATCCCACACCTACATGGTTCTGGCTGTGGTGTCCGAGGCAGGATATACGACACTTCATCCCCAGGAGAGAGGGGCTGGGACCACCTGCTTGGTGCCACAGGTGGTTCCCAGCCTCAGTCATGTCCTGTCACGCCCCAGCACTCCCTAACTTGCCTCTTGCCTGCTGCATCCGTCCAGGAGCTCTGTCATGAAGGAGATGTACACTATGGCCAGGCGTAAGGTCTCTATCCGAGAGAGTCTCTTCTCATAGGCGAAGGTGGGCACCTTCTTCCTCAGCTGATCGAACGCCTCATTGAGGTTGAACATCCTCTTCCTCTCCCGTATGTTGGCAGCCTGGCGCTGGGCATAGGTGATAATCCGCTTTCTCCTGGGTCTGTCCAGGAGAGAGGTGCGCATCCTCTCATCTTCCTCCTCTTCTTCATCTTCGGGATCTCCGTCTCTGAACACAGCCAAGGGCAGCCCCCGGGCCATGCCCTCCCTTAGTGACAGGGCTCTGTCCCCAAAGGGAGGCCCGGTGGTGACCTCGCAGAGCCCCAGGCCTGATCTGGCTCGAAGGGGTCCCTGGGGGGTGCCCAGGGAGAGGTCGGCCATGAAATCCAGTACCGAGGTGCCCAGAAGTCCCTCTGGGCAGGGCACTTGTGGCGCTCTACCGTGCAGCTCATCCAGCAGTCCCTGGTGCTGGTGGGCTGAGAAGAGGCTGGCTGACATCTTACTCCAGAGAGGGCTTAATCTGGTCCCCCATCCTCAGCCCCAGAGGCGTTAATATTTATAACCCCCTGGATAACAGGATTAGCAGGACTAGAAAGAGCGGCTGCAAAATTTCTCGCAGTGATGCTGATGAGACGCAGCCCCCTCGGGGACGCGTGGATGCTCCTGAGAGAGGAGTCCCCAGCGAGTCAATCCTGTCACAGCGATCAAGGACAGTTCCTTCTTGGCAAAATCCTCCGCTCTTACCTGCTGAGCACTTTTGTCTCTTCTTACACACCCACAACCAAACGATTTTCAGCCTCTTTAAAATCTGCAGCAACAGAGCCGGGTCTCCGCTGGGCTTCTTTTCCTGCTTTCTGTCGGGATCTCTGAACCCTGAGAGACAGCCTAGCAATTGATGTCAAGCAAGTGCATGTATGCTTTTAATGATGTCCTGAAGAGGGGACCTGCATGCAGAGGGTCACCGGGGAATGTTTACCCTGTATCCCAGCGCAATGGGAACTGAATGACAGGACCTCCATTAGCCTAAGTAAGCATTGTAGGGGACCCGATATTGCATTCCCAGTAGTAACTGTTGGAATCGTCTCTCCATTCCCCTTAAATCCCTTTCAATCAGAGTTCAAACATCTTTCCAGTAAAAGGCTGCCTCGTAAAGCTCATTTATGTTCAAGCAGTCTCATAGTACTTGTTTTGAAACTCCTTCCTCCTGCCCATGGGAGGAGGATAAACTGGTCCTATTCAGGGCAGCTGTTTCTCTTACACCTTTGGTAGAGCTGTCCTGGTCACTGGCAGTGCATAGGGGAATCAACCTGAGTGTGCACACTGATAATTCTGGATATGTACCGCAAAATACCGTGAAATGCGTATAAACACACCCGCACACCCGACACCACTGAATACCTTTCTTTGATCAAGGTTTCCTTGGGGACGGACTCTGGCGATTGTTTTGCTTTTTTCTTGGGAGTCTGGAAGAGGTTAGGGGTTGTGTCGTCACCCTCCCACACTATAGACTCTTTCTAAATAAACATCCCGGCCCTGGCAGTCCCTGGCAGTGTCAGATACATCCAGGTCGAATCGGATCGATTTTCCTTGGCACACGATTAGCTCGCACAGTCCTCTCAGGAGTGGCTGCCCCCTCACTCCTGCGCTGCCTTCCTAAAGCCTAATCTTCGCCTTTGTTATGCATTGTTGTCACTCTCGCTTTGGGGCTAATTAGTGTCTAATTTCTAAGAGGATTTTCAAGCTCATCAGATCAAAGGAGGAGGTTGGGGGTGGCAGAAAATACTCTCAGCGAAAATACTTCCTGTCTGCCTACAGGACTGCAAACTTTTCCTGCCGCGTACCGGGGTTTGCCGTCATTTACAACGCAGGGAGCGATCTACTCATCCCCTTTCCTGGGAAAGATGCTGCTGGAAAATCACCTCCACTCC